CGGTTAAAGTGGTAAATTTTGTGATGTATATTTCACCACAATAAACAAATTTTAAAAATACAAAATAGAACAAAACATAAATAAAATAATTAGTAAATCTGACTTCATTTAAAAAATTAAACCAATGAATCAATTGGTATTACATGTATATTCACTACAAACATGGAGATAAATATCAGAAAAAAAACAGCTAGAAGAGTTGAAAGTTGTTTCTTCACAGGAGCAAATGGAAGCAGGCCAGGGGACAGCTGTTTTTATTAAAAGCCTTCCAACAGTATTTGAAGTAACGGTTTTAAAATTTCTATGTGTGTGCATTATTTCGATAAAGGTAACTATTAAAAAGTAAATCAAGTACTACTATAACAAGCACTGGTGTGAATGCAGAGAAACTGGAACCCTCATACATTGCTGGTAGGAATGTAAAATGGTGTAACCACTTTGGAAAATAGCTTGGCAGTTTGTTAAAAAATAATTTTTTAATGGAATCATAGTTGGTTTTACATATCTGTGGGATGCAGAGTTGAATATCATTACCTGTGTGCAATATGTGATGCTCAAATCAGGATGACCAGTATAGTCAACATTATACAATGTAATAGTCTTTTGTGGCCCTTTCTCAGTTCCTCTCTTACCCGCTCCCCCCATCCCTCCCCAGCCACCTCTGGTAACCTCAGTTCTGTTCTCTCCTTTTGAAAGTTCAATGTATCATTGTGATTGTTGTATTTTTCTTTCTTTTTTAAAATTTATTTGTTTATTTTTTAGCTCCCATGTACGAGTGAGAACATGCAGTATTTCTCTTTCTGTGCCTGGCTTATTTCACTTAACATAATTTTCTCTAAGTTTAAAATGCTAAATGTAGATTTACCACGTGACCCAGCAATTCCACTCCTAGGGACAGACTCAAGGGAAATAAAAACATATGTCCACATAAAAACTTGTATACAAATGTTCATAGCAATGTTATTCATAATAGTCTCAAACTGGAAACAACCCAGAATGTCCATCAACTGATAAATAGAACATAGTGTATGCATACAGTGGATTATTATTCAACCATAAAAAGGAATGTGGTATTGAAACATGCTACGATGTAGATGAACCTTGAAAACATCATGCTAAGTGAAAGAAGCAAGACACAAAAGACCACATACTGTGTGATTCTATTTATATGAAATGTCCAGAAAGGTAAATTTATAGATATAAAAAGTAGATTAATGATTGCCAGGAGCTGGGGATGGGAATGGTGAGTGACAGCTAATGGGTATGAAGTTTCTTACTGGGATGATGGAAATGTTCTAAAATTAGAATATGATTAGAATGTATTAGTTTGCTCAAGCTGCCATAACAACAGAAATTTATTTCTCATAGCTCCAGAAGCCAGGAGGTGCAAGATCAGGGTGCCAGCATTCTGGCAAGGGCTCTTTTCCTAGCTTGCTGACAGCAACCTTCTCACTGCGTCCTCACATGGCAGGGAGGAAGGGAGAGCACAAGCTCTCGGGTGTCTCTTCTTATAAGGGCACTAATCTCATCATAAGAGTCCCACCCTCATGACCTCATTTATACCTAATTACCTCCCAAAGGCCCCATCTCCAAACACCATCAATTGGGGGTTAGGGCTTCAATGTATGGATTTGGGAAGGAAACAATTCCATCCATAGCAGTGGTGATGGCTGCACAACTCTGTAAATACACTAGAAATTATTGAATTGTATAATATGTACAGGTGAATTTTATGGCATGTAATTTATTCCTCCATAAAGTTGTTTTTTATTTTTTTTATTTTTATTTATTTATTTTTTTCCTTTTTGTCTTTTTT